CTTCTACATGCCAGAGGTCATATCCCCATCTCCTCAAAGGTATGGGTTTGAAATTCACATCAATTTGCAATTTCTGCAATTTCTGCAATTTCTGCAATTTCTGCGATTTCTGCGATTTCTGCGATTTCTGCGAGTTGCTGTTCCGCAAATGCCGAAAGTACGAGTGCTAATTCATCCTAGAGTGATGCCAGAAGTGCCCGAGAATATGCAAGACAATATTGCTGAGATGGAATACCACGCCGACCCCCGCCGCGGGCAACAACAACCGCAATACCAACGCGCCCACACCTATCCCGAACGCACTTCATCTGTTCAAGGTCAACCCCAACTCGGTCAGGTGCACGATCCCAGTTCGTACGCGCAATCCGCGACCTATGACAGCATGGATCACCCCAACTTTTCACCTTTCCCCGTCTTGCGGAACCCACCACCAAACGTCCCACCCACTGATGAACAGAGAGAAGCGAACCTAGAGCGCGCGCGGATGGCCGTGCTATCGACCACAGACCCGGAGATGCAACTCGCATGGGCCATGGATGCCCTCGCCTTTGTCGAGGTCGCCGCACAGAACGACGTTCGCCTCTGTTTGACCCAACCGCCACGTCCGCAGACCCCGCAAGTGGAGCGCCAGCTCAGGGTCGACGCGATGAATATCGTCAGCTTTCTTGCTGAGCAGCACCATCCTAAAGCGGAATTCATCAAAGGCATGTGGCTCGAATTTGGCAAATTTGGCTGCCCTGTCGATCGCAAGGAGGCATTCCGATCATACTCCCGAGCCGCTGAGAAGGGATATGCGCGTGCCGAATACCGGATCGGAATGCAGTTTGAGAGTTCGGGTGAGCCGGAGAAGGCGATCAAACATTACCAGCGGGGTGTCGCACGGGCGGATTCTGCCTCGTACTATGTGGGTTATTAGATAGATCATGCAGGACAGTGGAGACACTAACATACTTGCAGCGCTTGGGAATGATGATTCTTTTGGGTCAGCATGGACAGCATCAGGATTTCAACACTGGGTTGGAATACATCCGGCTGGCAGCGCAGTCATGCGACCAGAACGCACCTCAAGGTGCATACGTGAGCTCTCCTATGAATTTCACCATGAAAATGATTCTAATGGATAACAGGTATACGGCATGCTCTTGGCTCGGGAGCTCCCTCAAGTGAGCGTCCCAGAAAGCTTCTTACCTCTTGATCTGAACATGGCACGTGTCAATATCGAAAAGGCAGCATATCACGGGTTTGCCAAGGCTCAAGTCAAGATGGGTGCTGCATATGAACTCTGTCAACTGAGCTGTGATTTCAACCCCGCACTTTCTCTGCACTACAATGCCCTGGCAGCCCGCCAAGGCGAGCCCGACGCCGAGATGGCGATCAGCAAATGGTTCCTGTGTGGACATGAGGGTATCTTTGAGAAGAATGACGAGCTGGCATTTAAATATGCCCAGCGTGCGGCCCAGAGTGGTCTTCCCACAGCTGAATTCGCTTTGGGTTACTTCTATGAGGTTGGTATCTATGTGTCGGTGGATATCAAGGAAGCTCGCTCTTGGTACACCAAGGCTGCTGCCAGTGGTAACAAGGATGCATCTGGCCGGATTGAAAGCATCTCGCGCTCAAAAACTCTGTCAAGAAAGGACCATGAGAAGATCGCAATCTCACGCATCAAGTCGACACGATACACCGCTCATCAACGAGGCAACTCCCTGGCATCAACCCCAGAAAATATCGAAATGCCAGATCCTTCAAGGATGACCTTGTCTGACGGTTCACCATCTGGGGCTCCTTACCCCGATCGTCCTCACTCTACTCGTCCGCGGCCTCAGCAGGGTTATCAGTTGTCAGACACTCGCCCAAGCTCAGCCTTTGGCGTCAATCCCAACCTTCGATCCAACGTAAACGTACCCTCGGGGTATGCTGAGCCACCTCCCCAGAGCCCCGGCTCTTACACACCATCTTATGGACCCGGCGAGCTTGGTGGACCTGGCGGACCCGTGAACTACCGCCAGCCTGGCCCTGGAACCCCTCTCAGCGCTCCTGCTGGGCCTACAAGCCCGCAGGCTGGTAACATGACCGGTCCTGGCGGGGCTCCTCGTCTCGATATTGGCTATTCTGCACCAATGTCACCTTCAGGTGGGCGCCGCCCACCACCTCGACTAGACTCGGCTCCCGATCGCAAGCCTATGAGACCTCCTGTTTCTGGCCACTCTGGAATGTCCTCACCCAATATGGTATCTCCTCGTCCGCCTGGTTCGCCCTCAATCCCTCCACGCATGGAGTCTCGGCAACAGTCTCACGGTTCGGGTGCTTCCACGCCTCAGCCTGCACCCTCAGTCCCGTCGTCGACATCATTCGCACCCCAGCAGAAGCCTGCCAAGCCGCCAAGCAAGGGACCCAAGACCTTTGAAGAGATGGGTGTTCCTAGTGCGAATAAAGATAGTGATTGCGTAAGTGAGACAATTTTGTTTGGCCATTGAACTTTGAACCAAGCTGACTTTTACAGATTGTGATGTGATACCCCCGGGCTTTGTTCCCTTTTCATCCAAGCAAGTTTGGCTGTCTCTGTTCAACCTTTGTGCATTTTCTCTACTTTTTATAACCATGGGGGTTCAAAAGTTTTCGCCATCCGGGAGGCGAATGGTCTCAACAGGTCTCCTCCTTGTTTCCACACAACTTCACTCGCACCCATTTCATCTCTGCCTTGAACTTTGTTTTTTTTTCCCCCTGGACATAATACCAGTTGGGCTGTAAGTTTGAGTGTGATATAGATATCAGGAGTAGTTGTGCATTTATTGTCTTAATTCTATCAGACTCAAACTCTCCTAGTTGTAGTCAGTTCTTCCACGTGAGGCGTGCACATCAACTTGTACATCAACTTGTACGAAGTCAGCATCAATTCAGTACAATTCAGTACAACTCAGTACAACATCCTGTCAATCATTACACTATGGCTCCGCGTAAGCCCAAGAGTCATGATCCCGCCGGAGATGATGGTTAGACATTCTCATGTTCAACTCCTCGACGCTGACCTGCTAACCTTGACGTACAAAGATGCTTCAATGATCCGGGAATACCTTCGTGAGAATCCACACTAAATCTGGACCTTGAGGTATGTTTGCTCAATGACTAACTCGACGAGTTTGCAGGTCAACAGAAGTAAGTTAGCTCTAATGAGCTGCTTCTATACTCGAAGTGGTGGCTAACATCGCCGGGTACAGTCGTCCATACTCAGTTCGCTCCCTCTTCATGGCTGCCCTAAGAACAGACCACTGATCTAGCATTTTATTAGGCCCTTGATGTCTCTGCAAACCTTCACAACAAAGTGACCAAAAGTAAGTCTGGTTCTGCCTGTCGACGCCTTCCTGATGTAAAGTTTCTAGCCCAAGCCGTAAAACTTCTCCGGGACTTGCTTGAAAAGAAAGAGATTGAAGGAAGGGTTTCTGGTGAGTTGGGTCTACTTGAAGATAGTGACAGACTAAATAAAATGACGTATAGGAAAACAGACAGTCTACCATGCTCTACAGGATCCCTCAGACATCACAACCCCAGAGGTAGCCGCGGCTGTCAAGCTTGACATCGAGAGGCTCGATGATGAGATTTCAACTCTAAAGGCAAACGAAAAGAAGGCCCGAGCAGAGTTAGCAGCCCTGCATGCAAAGCCCCGGATATCCGATCTCCGGCAGGACATCATCCGTCTTGAGAGCGAGGAATCGGCGATACAGGCTCGCCTGGCAAGTCACCACGAGTGCGACCCTGTTCGGATATCACCAGAAGATAGAGAAAATCTCGAAAAGGAATGGAAGTATTGGCAGCGGCATGCCAACGTGCGCCGTCACATCTGTCGCGATCTCTGGGGACAATGCTCTGAGGTACTTCCGGAGAACATGACTGCGGCGGAGTTGTGGGTGAGTTTTGAGAATGACAAGTGACAAAGCCCGCAGGCTCTCCAATCATCAATGCTCTGGAATTCTGACAAATGTTGTCAGGAATCTTTGGGGCTTGAAGGAACGCTCCAATAAGATATCATAGCGGAGTGATCTCTCTGCCTAGTCTCCACTCTCTGGGTCACATCATTTGACATCTACGATGTGCACGTTTATTATGAGACCTACTGAGGGATTCTTGAGACCTGAGGATTGTGTGTTCTATTTCTTATGGAAACCTGATCCGCCGGTATGCATGAGGAGCTCGAGTGTGGAATGGAGGCAGCTGGGAGGGAGGGGGCAAACCGTAATCGGACATTGTCATGAGGTGAGAGAGGCTGTGGTCAGATTGTATAAGATAATGGTGTTATATATGATTGGCTTCAACGTTAATTTAAGGCATTTCTACACTCTACAACTTCTTATTTCTCTTCACACTTGGTGTTGTCGAGTGCATCATCCAACACTGATCTCTTCCCCACCGCCCGCCGAGCCTATCTCTCTTTCCCCTCTCCAATCTCCAACCCCTCTCACTTCTCCATGCAGGTGTCTACTCGTCCTACACCATTTCGTCGAACCAGTCACTTAGAGATGAGAGGTCGTGCGCCTCTTCCGGTTTCTTCTGGGGCGCAGAACCCCCAGAATGGACATTCTCGCAATCCATCGGCACTTGACGTTGCCCGCAGCCCGCCGAATCAGAGCAATAAGAGTAAGTCTTGACTTTGATTTATTCATACCAATCACTGCAGCTGTGCCCAGAATGCGAGCTAATCTTTTGCAATCTTCTATGCAGACACTAAACATGTTCCGTGCAAATTCTTCCGCCAGGGTGCCTGTCAGGCAGGCCCCGCATGTCCTTTTTTACACTCCACCGATGCCGGAATTGACTACGCTCCTTGCAAATATTTTGCAAAGGTATGAAATCGGCACCCTTTCAAAGTTGACCCTTCGATGCGCGGTTTCCGAGGCTGTCGGAAGCTAACGGGGAAATGGTTTTAGGGAAACTGCAAGTTCGGCGCAAAATGCGCTTTGGCGCACATCCTACCAGATGGACGGAGAGTCAACCGGCCGACTGGGAACATGGGAATGGGAAGCGGCCACCTCAATCTCGGCGGCCGAGTGAATCCACAAGCCTATGTCAACCAGGACTCTGCCTTGACCAACTCGGTGCTCTCCCAACAGCGCATGAACGGCCACGAGCAGACTCGATACGCCCCGCAATTGGCCCCGCAGGAGGAATATGGATCCCTGCATGGGCAGCAACAACCACTCTATGATGGTATCCCCACGATCGATACGGGTTTGGCCTCCGATGCCGGCTCCAAGTATGGATCTCCGGCAGAAGATGTTCGATATCCCATGTCGCCTAGTAACAACCACCTGAGCGCTCTCGATGCGGGCCTCCCTGCTTCGTTCGACAGCCAAGGAATCTCTCATGCTGCCCGCTACGGTCCGGTGGCTGCTTCCATGCCCTCGCAATATGGATTGGAATCGCCACCACCCCAGAGACCGGGACATGCAGATATTTTCCGAAATTTACGCGATATTGGCTATGCTACCAGCTTGCGCAAGCATCCATCGAACATCGGATCCTCTCCCCCTGCTCTCGAAGACACAGGCGGTACCCGGTTCTTGCACTCTTCGCGCCACGTCAAGCCGCGCATGCTTTCCGCCAGTGTTCCTCGTCCCATGGTCCTTGAGGACTGGGATGAGAACTTCCCCATGGAGGAGGATTACCTACCAGTCAACCTGCACGACGATGTTCTGACCCCGCAGGAAAAGCTGCGCCGTCTCTCCAGAACTGATAACGACCTAAGCTCCAGCCACCGGGACATCAGCGGCCTTGGCATGACCGGCACCAGTTTCTCTAAGACAGGTTCTCCCCTGGCGTCGAGCCCGTCTCGGTTTGGTGCATTATTTGCCAAGCAGCGCCAGCGCAAGGAGGAGGAATCTCATGGATCTGCCTCTTTCCACATCGGTTCTCCTCTCCGTGAATCATCACTGAACCCAATCACCAGTCCTAGCCTGGGACCTATTGGCAGTAGCCGGGCATCTCACGAAGGGGCGTCGTTTATCTCGAGCCCCGGACGTCAATCCTCAATGTCGATGATTTCTGAGCAGCTTGGCGGCATGGGCCTTCACCCTGGTTCTGCTCGCCAGTCATCTGCTGGTCCTAGCGGTCTCCTTGACCGAATCATCTCCTCTCCTGTCAGCACCAGCAAAATTGAGGAGGAAGAGCAGAGTGACCTGGTCTTTGACATGGAGGAAGAAGTCGGCAATAAGCGGACCAGTGCTTTATGGAGTGAGAACAAAGAAACATCCTCCTAATCTGTCCTCTTCGTTTTCAATTTTATCATGATACACCAAGTCCAAGTCCAATATTGGGACATGTTCATATTCACCAAAAACACAGGGAAATAGGTTGTTGGAGTTCAATTGGGCAACATACATCAAAAGAGACAAAACAGAAAGAAGGGTTCAAGACAATGCATCCTTTCCTCTCTCCGGATGGGACGTCTGGTTCAGCAAAAACAAAAGGCGACAAAAAAAGCTTCATATCCCTCTCACCATAGACTGGCACTCAGCAATATCTGCCTTGTTTTATTCCTTCGTTTGGAATCATCTAGATCAGTCACATGTGTTTCTCATTGCTGGGCTTTCAGAAGATTCCTCTGACTAGCCATTTACTGTATTAATTTCTGCCTTTTCTCTGTTTGTATTCGTTTCCATTTCTGGATATTGCACTGTGTCTAGCTTGACATATCTCGACTCTTTTTTTTCATATCTGCCTTTGTTTCATGATTTCACGACCACTGCGATCTCTGGTGTTTCCTAGGTGCTTGCTTTGTCTTCTTCTCCCTTGTTCTTTGTCCCCTACTGTCGGAATATGTGGTCTTGATTCTCGGGACTGCAGGCATGTATAAATTGGAGGTGTGCAAATAAATGATTCCTTGATACTTACTTGATGATTGAGCAAATCACCATTCAATAGATGTGCTGAGTGTGTAGGTTCTTTGACAGGCAGCATCAAGGGGATTCAGTATGTAGACCCAACATCTCGGGTCAAAGCTGACCGTGCAATTTTGCTGGCTAGAGTACATGAGGATTGAAACTAAAGCCATTTCATGTGCTACCTAATCAAACACATCCCTAAACTAAAATGGACGCCTCGAGGATAACGCCTTTGGAACCGAATCATGAAACCACGCCAGTATGTTCACCTTTCTTCTAAGCTTCGTCCAGGTACAAGGCAGTACCCTTCAAATTGATCAAACCATCCTTCGTAGACTGAGCCTGAATCTGCTGTGTCTGTTCCATAGCCTGGCGATCTGCCACGGCACCACGCTCCCGCACTCCATCGATTTCCATAGGATCATCATCTCGAGCCGGATGGAGATATTCATAGAGCTGATCCGTACCCGTGACGACACACTGCACCAGCGTCTCAACCGCCTTACCAGTAAGCGCACCGGCACGGCCCATAAGCTCAGTCTCTACCTCAGCGCGCCGGCGCTTTGCAGCTTCATCTTGTTCTTTCTGCTCAACAGCCAGCTTGCGTTTCCGCTCCTCAACCCTTTTCTGGTGTTCCTCCTTGGTAGCGAGGTATTTCAGTGAATGACCGAGCTTCTGCTTTGAGGGCGGGATGAAGTCCACCGGCGGCGCGGAGAAGAAGAGCACGCGGCCGTGATCATCGCAGTGGAATTGGTCGCGGATGTCTTCTGGGATAGCGGCGTTGGCTGCATCGCTCAAATGAAAGACTTCCACTGGCCGCGGTGCGTTGGGGTTGTACACGGCTGGCGGGGCCTGCATCCGATTTTGGGGGTAACCGGAGTAGGGAGTTTGCTGGGCCGCAGAGTATGCCTGGGCCGGTGGTGAGGGCTGGTATGCGCCTGCTGATGTTTGCGGGGTGGAAGCGAGCTGGCTTGCGCGGCGCTGAAGAGATGCTGTAAAGGCTTGGGATGGGGTCATTTGGTGAAAGCCTGGTGGGCGGATGGGGGCGGGAGTAGTGTGGATAATGATTGGGGGTGCTGCTGGGGTAAGGACTCCTGGGCTTATGGCTGTTCCGGAAAGTGATTGGCTCAGTGATTGACGGGGTACTACAGACTGGGGCAAAGATGGAGGAGGCGGGGATGGGGTTGGCTCGGGTGGTGGGGATTCCTTATGTTGTCAGCTTTCTAGGAACATTTTCCATGTTTAAGGGAAAAGACTTACATTCTCATCTCGTGGACGGCGGTGAACAGCGCCGGCAACAGGAGGTGCATTGTCGGCTCCCCAGGTCGGCCGAGGGAGGTCATCAGTCTCCTTGGAATCCTCTTTCAGATGATGCTTGATCGGACTAGGAATTTTCTTGATCTTGCGAGGCACATCGAAGAGATCCATCTCGTAGTCTTTCTCTCGCACTTCATCTGGCAGACAGCTGGCCCATGTCTTGATCTTGTTCAACTTGTGTTTCTCCTCATTGTACCGAGCCTCGCAAACGTAGATTTCTTTATCCGGTGCGAGATCCCTTGGACGACCGCGGCTGTAGCGGGTGAAGAACATGACGAAGCAGCGATCCACAATCTCATCAATCCGGTGGTCTCGGTATTGCCCAGTCTTCACAACTTCATTCGGGTAGAAGTGCTTCTCGAAGTGATGCACCGTCTGCTCAGGGCGATAGTACCAACATGCGTTGATCCATTTCTCTCCATCAGAGTCCTGCCAGGTCCGGTAGATCTGTGCAACGATGGGCTTGCTCACATCATTTTGGTTTTGGATATGAACCCAGTCGCCAACCTTCCATAGTTCACCGCGGTGGAGAATACCATCAGGGAGTGGGAAACGTCCGTCTTCCATCAAGAACTCGCTATCAGGCTTCTTCTTTTCTTGCTCGGCCAACTTGCGTGACTCGGTTTGCAGGTCAACCGCATCCTTGAAGATCTGACTGTCGGACTGATTGTAAGCCTTGGCATTTTCGAACATGAGATCAAGATCGCGCATGAAATGGTCGACGGAGTTGTACTTCTTGCGCTTGGACTTGCGCTTGATGATGTCGATGGCGATGGGTTCCTTGGTCTCCAAGTAGTAGTCCGGATAAGCGGCTTTGTCGGGAAGGCGTTCAAAGTGTGTGATCTTCAGGTGGCCACCGGCGCCCTTGAACTTCCGAATTCCCTTCAGGATTGTCTTGATACGGATTTCCATCGGAGTGTCGACGCGGGGAGGACGGCCTCGTTTCTTGCGAAGGTCGGGTTCGTGCTTTTGAGTCAATCCACGCTTGAAGCCGGGCTTAGGACCGGGCTTCTTTCTTCGTCGGCCCTCATCCTCGGAGTCTTCATCCTCATCTTCTTCTTCCTCCTCCTCTTCCTCATCATCATCAGGGAGTGGATCGGCCTCTGGTATCTCTCCAAGATCAGGTAGCTCTGCTTCATCAGCCGGGATCAGGCCTTGGGCGGCCAGCTTTCTGAACTCGGAGGTAAAAACTTCCTGGAAATTGTCAGTTGAATGTAAAGAGTGGCCGAGTTTACTCAAACCTACTTTGACGACCAGCGCATCTTCATAGGCCTGTGATTTAGGTCTGTTGTATGTTTGCGCATTATGCGGGATCTAGATCGTTAGCTTGTTCCCAAACCTGGAGGGGCGCAACCACTCACCAACGCGCAATCGCGGACAAATTCAGAAAAGTGCTTGTACTCCCGTTTGTTGATACGCGCTTTCAAAATACTCAGAGCCATCGGCTCCTTGATGATATCGTAATAGTCGGGAACATAGCGCTTGTTGACACTGCGATGGAATAGTCGCGACGGGTCATGACCACTGCGCAAGATAAGAATTAGCCAGCGACCACTATGTATCTCAGGGTCGATCGCACTCTTCTTCTCGGTAGTCATAAATTGCCATGACCACGTCCATCATCAGTTTCCATGTTTCGCGGGTGATCGCACCGTCATTCTCGATGGAGTTGACGGGTTGTTCACGCGGGGGTTGCGATAGCTCTTTCTCGGACTCCATGTCGTTGGCGACAAGCGCATTTCCACGCAGGGGTAAAGTTGGCCTTTCAGATCAAATATTTCGAAGCAAGCAAGCCAGAATCCAGGTAAGACGATTGGGAAACCCTGGAGAGGTCGGAGAATGTTTTGTAAACGTGTGAAGCCATTTGCTGACTCAGCGACCATTTGACGTTACGGTAATTTGATGAAATTTCATGACACTTCAGATGGCCTCACATTCAGCACATCTGTCCATTCAATCCTATGATTTCCGTTTACGTCTTATTAATTGATGTCTGTCATATATCTGCCTACTGTGGTCGGGGGGTTAAAGTTGTCACTCAGGATGTACTTGAAACTAACATCGCTGTTCAGCAATGGTTGCTATGATTGGCTTGGTACCTGGGTAGGTCTCACCCTGTTTGTAGTGGTGTTTGTGACTTCAAAGTTGTGTCTGAAGAAATTAGAACTAATTCATATATCAGTCCTAATTCTTCCCAGAGCGTCCAAAAGGGATCTTATAATCTTAGGCTTGCATCACAGACTGCCTGAGGTGTACCCAGGCATGCCAAGGTATACTCCACACGGCAAGTCGTCATATCTTCCTATCACTGGAACTTCCAAGATTCTTAAGATTGTCCTCCTCACGGTTCCCTAAGCCCTCTGCCTCTTTGAAAATTTACCACAATGAGAATTCGAGTCCGTGGGCCTTCAGGCCAGTCGACTATCACCTTGGACGACACCGCAACCATTAAAGATCTCCAAATCCAAATGGCGGAGAAGACCGGCCTTGCTACCTTTGACATCAAATATGGATACCCTCCCAAACCACTCGAGCTTCACAGCTTCCAGCAAGACCAAAGGATATTGGAAACTGGGATAAATCTAAATGGAGAGTCCCTCATCGTCGCACAGAAAGAGGGGACCACCCGGGGCGTCAGCGACTATACGTCAACAGCCTGTACAGCGCCATCCCAACCAGCACGGCCAGCACAGCCATCAAGGTCACAAATACCGCAGGGAAACACCGCCGAAGACCCGCCAGAAATTGCCTCCCCAGAACATGCCGGAACGTTCGTTCTCCGGGTGATGCCCGACGACAACTCCTGTCTTTTCCGAGCAGTGGGCGCTGCAGTCATGGGCGATATGGACACGATGGTTGAGCTACGATCTATCATTGCAGGAGTCATTCAATCGAATCCGTTGGAATATACAGCGGCTATTTTGGGCAAAAAACCGGATGAATACTGTACCTGGATCCAGAACGAGGACTCCTGGGGTGGCGCTATCGAGCTCAAGATTCTTAGCGAATACTTCAACATCGAGATCTGTTCCATCGACGTACAGACTCTCCACATTTTT